GCCCTTGTGTTGACGTTATAGTTATATCCATACACTTGGCACTAGCACTTCTTATAGCGCTTGTATATACTGAATCTGTTCAGTGATTTCATCGCAGCACTTATGCCAACAAGCCAACCAGTTTACATACAGCGTCGATATACGTTTAAACGCTCATACTCATTCCCAAGAGAGTCATGAGGGGGGCAGCCATGGGGGCTAGGTTGGCGGGGGACCCGGGAGAAGCCAGGGGGCTGGATTTGGGAGTGGCTTATAATGTTCCACGGTCTCCAGACAACCATCCTAATCTCTACTTTATATCCCGACCTAATGCTTACTGTCATGCCTAATGTTGGCTGTCATGCCAATGGTTTGTCTGTATAAACAAGACTCTGTCGCAGACGAACAAAACAACCTTTGTCGGTCTTGAGAGCCCATTGTCTTGTCTGCTGCGTGGCATCGGACGTCCACTGCTGTCGGTGAAGTTGGGGTCATACAGCTGGCATTATATAGATGTTAGAGGATATGCTCAGCGTGGCGCGGTCCGTCTAGTACACGCCTAGGCAAGCCTGCTTTTAGAGTCTTCGTTTTTTTTTTTTTTTCTAGTGGAAATATCTGCTAATGTGCTCTACTGCACGTATCATTAAAAAAAATTAATTCTATTGCAAATTCCTTCAAAATGTAAAGCTGTGAATACCAACAAATATGTTTTAATCTGAATACCAACAAATATGTCCTAATCTGACTACCAACAAATATGTTCTAAATTTATACCAACAAATATGTTCCAATCTGAATACCAACAAATATGTTCTAAATTTATACCAACAAATATGTTCTAAATTTATACCAACAAATATGTTCCAATCTGAATACCAACAAATATGTTCCAATCTGAATACCAACAAATATGTTCCAATCTGAATACCAACAAATATGTTCCAATCTGAATACCAACAAATATGTTCCAATCTCAATACCATCAAATATGTTCTAATTTTATACCAACAAATATGCTCTAATCTGAATACCAACAAATATTATATGTTCTAATGTGAATACCAGCAAAAAGTTCTACCATGAAGCCCATGCCACGAATCAATTGTTCTACATTAATGAAACCACTGCTCTGCCTTCCAACTGAACAACCCCCCACTTCCCTTTTGAACGATTGGGGGGGGGGGGG